TTTTTCTTTTTCTTTTTCTTTCCTTTTCCTTTTCTTTTTTTTAAAGAGCTTTGGAGGAAAATGCCTGGCTCCAGAGTTGGGTGGAGGTTCCTGGCTGATCCTCCTGGGTTCAGCCCAGGTTACCTCTGGATACACCTCTGATTTCCCTCACTCCCCATTGCTCACGTGAAAATCAGCGATGGAACTGGGGACACTGAATTGTGTCAGCTCTTGCTCCTGGCTCGGGATGGGGCCAAAACTCAGCGCTGAGCATCCATTCTCAGTGCAGATTGTTCAGCAGTTTTGGAGCCAGGGTAGTTGGGTTTCCTCCCTCCCAGGAAAGGAGAGGTTAAAAAGCCTCTCCTTTGGAGCTGGCACTGGCCCCAAGCAGTTGACATAGGAGAGGAGGAATCCAGCGCCCGGTGTGTGGGCGATGAGGATGTGCTGGCTGCCAGAACAACGGGAGCTGGCGGACACAGCGCTGGCTCACCCTCGCCAGATGTTCAGCTGTGCTGGGCAGGAGAGACTCTCTCCAGCAGAACTTCCCCAATTCCCTAATTCTCAGTAGGGGTTGGGAAAGGAGGCGACCTCCAAACTGAGAGCATCTGGGAAGCTGAGCTGGCCTGAGCTGCGTTCCCAGGGTGTTGCGAGGGGATGGCTCTGATTTATTCCCAGCTGGGGTGACTGCTGGATCTTGTCCTGGGATGATGCGAGGGGTCACTGTGGTCCTGGAATAAGTATGGATGCAACACACTGCCCCAGGGCTCCATGGTGGTTCAGCATCCTGGTGCTCCAGCAGCATCTCCCGACCATGGGTAAGACCCCTTTGGTTTTATCCCATCTCAGGGAATCTGAGCAACCTGGTCTAGTGGATTGTGTCCTTGCTCATGGCAGGAAGATTGGAATGAGATGGTCTTTAAGGTCCCTTCCCACCCAAGTCATACGATGATTCAGTGATGTCCCAGCTGTGGTTGGAGGGCCAGCAGCTGGGAATGGGGAGCATTTTGGGAGATGTACCTGAATGATGTAGTGGGAGCAGCTGAAGGTCACTGTCTCGGCCAACACACAAATCTTGGGGCTGGTGAGTGGAGGGAGCCACTGAAGGACAGTGTGGCATGGGCACGGGGTGTCCTTGCTGAGTGACCATCCTTGGCTGGACCTGAGACCATCCCCTGTCCTTCCTCCTTGCAGAGAGCCTGAGTGCTGAGATCAGCCTGCTGGAGCTGATTGGGGACCCACCGACGGAGGAGATCCACAGAATTTATGGCCCCGACAACAACCCCGGCTACGTCTTTGGTCCCAACGCCAACACGGGCCAGGTGGCCCGGTACCACCTGCCGAGCCCTTTCTACCGAGACTTCTCGCTGCTGTTCCACATCCAGCCCACCACGCCCCGGGCCGGCATGCTCTTTGCCGTCACGGACTCCTCGCAGAGCATCATCTACGTGGGTGTCAAGCTCTCGGAGCTGCGCGCGGGCCAGCAGCAGATCATCTTCTACTACACGGAGCCGGGCTCACCCAGCTCCTACCCGGCCGCCACCTTCACCGTGCCCACCCTGCTCAACCAGTGGACGCGCTTCGCCATCAGCGTGGAGGAGGAGGAGGTTGTCCTCTACCTGGACTGTGAGGAGCACGAGCGTGTCCGCTTTGAGCGCTCCCCAGACGAGATGGAGTTGGAAGAGGGCTCCGGGCTCTTTGTTGCTCAGGCTGGAGGGGCTGACCCAGATAAATACCAGGTAAGAGCTTGGGTCACCCCAGGGAGTATCTCCCAAAAGCCTGGAGAGATGTGACACTGCCCATACCCAGAAGACAACCAGCTCCATGTGTGTCCCTGGGAAAGGGAACACGTGACATGGAGGTGGCTTGAGATGCCACTGATTTACTGTCTTAGGGCTCACCAAAGCAAAGCTCTTGAGCTGGGCTGGCAGGAGGACATGGGGTTGCCATGCAGCTCCCACCATTGCCTTTTCCCAGCAAACACATGGAGCCTCTTCAGATCTTCCCATTCCTAAAAATACCCAGCTCCTTTGGTGGAGAAGCTGGTTTGTCTGAGAAAATGTCTCCCTTAAATAGAAAAAATGCTTGGGCTGGAGCATATCTTTGCTGGCTGATGTTGGGCGGTATCTCCAGGAAGACTTTGGAGGGTGAGGAAGGATGTGATAGCTCAGCCAGTGCTTTGAGCAGGACTCGTGTTCCAGATAAGGGTTGTGGAAAGTGTGGGGAAAATGCCCAGCTGACATGGAAATTCCCTGCAGGACTTGAGGAGAGGAATGTTTAGGTTTATCCTGGGCTGAGTAGGATTTGCCCAGCAACAGAGGCTCTGCTGAGGGGAGCAATGTTTTTCCTGTGGAGTTCTGCAAAGCACGTTTCTGAGCTTAAACATCATCCTGACTGTACGGCCACATTCCCCCTGGAATGGCTTTGGGCAGGGAAAGCTCTCCCAGGAAGGGGTTAATCATTGATGGGCTACAAACTGGTTTGCACTGGGATTCCGATTGCTCCCTTGAAGAGCAACTCTTTGCTCTTGAAGAGCAATTTCTTTGCTCTTGAACGTGCTGGGAGGGCCAGGTCATGGCTGTGGAGGAGCTCCTCTCCCCAGCCTGAGGGGTTTGGCACCACATGGAAGGCACGGCAGCAGCCTGGAGCAGAGCAGACCCTTCTAGCAGGTGATGCTCCCAGGCCTGCCAACCCCTGATCCCACTGCCTGCCCCCGGTTTTCCCGTGGGGAATAGCTGGCCGAGGAGGGAAGGAGACCTTGGCTGGGCAAGAGGGGAGCGGCATCTGACATCCTCGTGGTGTTTCCATCACTGTCCAGCCCTGCCTCCCATTATCTGGAACTAATGGGGCATCAAGTGGATTGAAGCCTGGCCCTGGGTCAGGCCTCAGGATGAACTTGCTGGGAGGCAGCTGGAGGAGTGTCCTGGCACCTCTGCTCCTTCCCGAGTCGCCTTTGTGGCTGTGGCAGGAAACCTGGAGGGGCAAAGCCTGCAGGTGACGCAGAAGCCCCTGGGACAGCAGCTCTCACGGGGGCAAATGGGGTCTCAGCTAGGGCCTGGCAGGAGGCTTTGTTTGCAGCTGGAAGTGGCACTTGGGGACACGGTTTACTGGAGGACCTGGCAGCACTGGTTAATGGTTGAACTCAATGGTTCTAGAGGGCTTTAACAGCCTAAACGATTCCACGGTTCTATGGATCTACTATAAGATCTTTGGTGCTGCTGCTCCCTTTATCAGAGCAAAGAGGCTGCTCCCCTATCGCCATCTCTTGTGGGACTGCCTCGCTTTAGAGCTTGGAAGTGGCTTTTTTGCCATGCCTTTGGAAAGCCCCAGATTTCAACCTTGCAGCCACTGCTCAGCAGCACCAGCATGGCTGGACAAGCCACGTGCCAGAGCTGGCATCACATGGGCTGAGCAGAGGTAGCAGCCAGAACCCGGCCAGACACCCAGCAGAGCTTTTACAGGGATCTTTTGGCCGTGCTCTTTGTTTTTCCTCTGCTGAGGGCTCCCTGGCCACAGCTGAGTGCCCTGCCCTGCGCAAGGACAGCTGGCAGGTTCTGCAGCCCACGTGTTGTATTTCCTGGGATAATCTGCTCTTCCTTACTATTTATTTGTGTTTTGCAAGCACCGTGTGCATCCAGGCCACTTGTTTATAAAAGAAACCACCACAGATCCCTTCCTAAGGATGCTGCCTCCAGCCAAACCTCTGTAGCATCCGGGACTCAACAGGAGAGGTGGTGCGGGTACCAGCCTGGACCCCACAGCTCCCAGCACATCCCAGAGCCCAACCTGGGTCCTCGCTGCAGGGTGGCACACAGGGATGCTCTTGGGATGGGAGTCTGCCAAGCTGGGATGCTGCCTATCCCTCTGATCTCAGTGGGGAGGAGCAGGGGACCATGCTGGGAAGTGAACTCTGAGAGAGGAGATACCTCCCCCTTGGTGTCTCTTCTTTGGGCAAGACAACTAAAATAATATTTGAGCTGGCCTGAAAGCACAGGGCACCACATCCGGGCAAGGAAATGCGATGGACTTAGGAAAACAGGGATCAGGGCAGTCGCAGTTCAGCTAGGCTGACTGTGGCGTAATACTAATGAATTACAAGTAGATTTAGTTATATAATAAATGTATTATAAATACATCGTTTATATGTAATTAAAAAATTATAACATTTCCTCTCACAAGCAAATGCCCCCAGCTAGGTGGTGACCTTTTCCAGCTGCTCGCAGTGCGGACAGCAGATCTCCTCCATCCTTTGTCTCACGCCCGAGGATGTGGTGGCCGAGTGGCACAGCAGGTCACATCACAGCCGGGTGGCTCGTCCGTGTCCCCCACCCATGCATGGTCTCCTTGCAGGGGGTCATTGCAGATCTGAAGCTCCGGGGGGACCCTCGGGCGGCCGAGCGCCAGTGCGAGGAAGAGGAGGATGACACAGAGGTGAGCACTGGCAGCATGGGCGGGGAGGGCTCGGGGGTGCCCCCACCATGCTCCCAGCTCAGCTCTCACCCCTTCTCCATGGGCAAATGCAGGTCTCTGGGGATTTTGGCAGCGGGATGGAAGGCGGACAGCAGCCCTCAGGCAAGGTCGAGGTGAGTTGCTGCCCGCAGGTGTAGCACTCAGGGCCGGACCCCAAAATTCTCATGATGCAGAGAGCCGAGTGCCTTGTGTGGCTGAGGTCATGGCATGTTTGATGATGTCCCAGCTCCTGTCCCTTATGGGAAGGCACAGGGAGGTGAAGGGTGTCATGGTGTCCCCTCGCTGTTGGTGCAGGCTGTTCCAGGGCTGCTGGACGCTGTCCCCGTGACCTCCCCGCCCGTGGCGGGGGGCAGTGGCCCCAGGAGTGCCGGGGGCGCCCCACAGCAAGCCGAGAGGACCAGAGCAGAGGAGACGCTGCGGGTCTCCACAGGAGGTAATTCCAGCGGCTTTCCCCTTCCCCAGGGTGCACAGGTGGGGACAGGGTGGTGGTGTGGCCATCCTCAGCCCCGACTGGGTCCTTTACCTTTTCCACAGGCGCCGGTTGGAAAGGAGAAAAGGGAGAGAAGGGCGAACGTGGCTTGAAAGGGGACTCAGGGACCAGTGGCATTGTAGGGCCAGGCAGTGTCAAGGGTCAAAAGGTGGGTGAGAGATGGTCCCTGGGGGCTCGAGGGTGCCAGTGACATGTCTGTGTTTGACACACACTTCTCTCTATTTCTGATCTTCAGGGGGAGAAAGGAGACCTGGGTGTCAAGGTGAGCATCACTGGGGGAGCTGGCACAGAGCCATGCCCTACCCAGGCTGCCAGCTCAGAGACCTGCCACCCTTTCCCATCTCCCTCCCCTCCCTAGGGCAGCGCTGGATTTGGCTACCCTGGCTCTAAAGGCCAAAAAGGAGAACCAGGTGACCCTGGACTCCCCGGGACCGTCTCTCGGCATGCCGATGGCTCGGTGCTGGAGCAGGTCACTGGCCCTCCGGGGGCACCGGGGAAGGACGGAGCCCCTGGCAGGGATGGCGAGCCTGTGAGTCAATTCCCCCCACACAGGGTGTGCCTATGCCCCTACTCTACCCACCTGCACACTGACCTGTCCCCTGTCTGCCATCCCTAGGGAGATCCTGGCGAGGACGGCAAACCCGTAAGTGGGGTGGAGGGGGTGCAGCAGGGTGATGGGGCACGGCCACCCCCTTGCCTTGCCACCTGCTGACCCCCACTGCTCCCCTTTGTAGGGTGAAATGGGGCCCCCGGGGTTCCCTGGCATGCCGGGGGAGCCGGGCCTGAAGGGGGACAAGGTGAGTGCCAGTGTTGCCCCCCTTCCTCTCGTCCCAGCTCAGCTGCACCCCCAAACCGCACTCTCTCCCCTGTGCTAGGGTGACCCAGGCGTGGGGCCGAGGGGACCCCCTGGACCACCTGGCCCTCCGGGACCACCGGGACCCTCCTCCAAAAATGACAAGCTGGTGGGTGCTCCCTGGGACACAGGGATTTGAGGGATGGGGGGTCCATCAAGCCACAGAGGTGCGGAGCGATCCCACCAGCCCCTGGACGAGCCCCAGTGCCACCGGGTGCCCTGACATCCCCCTTGTGCTTCTCTCCCAGACCTTCATCGACATGGAAGGCTCTGGCTTCGCTGGTGACCTGGAGAGCCTGCGGGTGAGTGGGGCTGAGTACTGATTGGTGTCTTGCCAGCTGGGAGCAGGGGACACCCTCAGCCATGGCCCTCCATGTCTCTTCTAGGGTCCACGAGGGCCACCTGGTCCCCCAGGGCCGCCTGGCGTGCCTGGATTGCCAGGGGAGCCAGGACGGTTTGGGACGAACCGCACGGAGCTGCCGGGACCGCCGGGGCTGCCGGGCAGGGACGGGACCCCCGGGCCCCCGGGGCCAGCGGTAGGTCTGGGGGTAGCCAGGGACACCCAGCCAGGGCCACTCTCTGGCGGTGGGGGGCTCGGTGCCCACCAGCCCCATGGGGTTTTCCTGTGCTGGAACCAACTCCTGGGATCTTACAGGGTCCTCCAGGAAGAGATGGGGAGGATGGGCAGCCGGGGCCCAAAGGAGAGCAGGTGAGTGGCTGGTTGGCCCTGTCCCGTGTGCCCCAGGAGTGCGTCACAGCCGTCCCACATCTCTGGGAGGCGCCAGCTCCTGGGCTGGGGAGCACCATTCTGCTCCTGCCTGGTGCTGGGCAGCTTCTCCACACCCTCTTCTCCTTCCCAGGGCGACGTGGGTGACCTTGGCCTCCCTGGCCTACCAGGACCCAAGGTACTGTGCCTGGGGTGGGGTTTTTTGGATTCTCCCTTGCAGGCTGGAGGCAGGGATGTTGCCTGGGGGAGCCGTCTTGCACAGGAATGGGGAGGGGGTTGCTGCTACTTGTGCTCCTCCCAGGTCAGGGCCGTACCTCAAAGGTGCATGGAGCTGCTGAGCCCACAAAGGATGCTCACTGGGCTCCTGCCAACCTGCCTTGGCTTTGCTCCAGGCACTGCCACATCAGGAAACGGGCAGGAAAACCAAGGAGGGGTGTTTCAAGACACAGAGGAGACTTTGCCTGGGGGACGCCCACACCCCACTGGAAAACACCCCATCTTCTGTGCATCGCTCTCTCCTGTCTGCTTGCTCCAGCTCCTTTCCACCCTGCATCCCCAAAGGCTTACTGGGATGGGAGCCCCTTAGAGTTGGGATGCTGCCCCTTGTGATGACCATCCACTACAGCCTGAACTGCGGGCAAAAACCTCAAAAAAATGAAGGTTTCTTAACCTTAATTCTAACTTTCTGCACTTCTGCAGCACCCAGAGGGCAGATGGGGTGGCAGCATGTGTAAGGTCCAAGCCCTTTGCTTCCAGAGCCATTGCAATCCCTGGAATGCCTGTGAGCATTCCTTCATGGCACTGAGCTCTGCTGCAGCAGTGGAGCCAGCCCCACGTGCAAAGACATTCCCATTTTATGATTTTAGACGAGCCTCTGGTGGCCACTGAGGACATTGCAAGGGGAGCCGGTGGGATGAAGGCTGCCCAAGGTGGGCAATGCCTCCTCCCACAAAGCCCCTAGACAGGGGAACATCGGGGAGATCCTCCATGTCCTGTCCCAGAGGAGATTTGTGAGGGGATGCTCTGCCTCCTGCTTGCAGGCTCCAGGCAGTGACCACTGCCACCTTCCTTTATGTCCTTTGCAGGGCAATAAAGGAGAAACGGGACCAGCAGGGCCCCCAGGAGAAATGGGCTTAGCTGGCCTTCCCGGGCCCGTGGGACCCCGAGGGCAGCCAGGGCCCCCCGGCCCCCCGGGACCACCGGGGCCGGGCTACGAGGCTGGATTTGTGAGTGGTCACTGCAGAGATGGGATGGGATGGGATGGGATGGGATGGGATGGGATGGGATGGGATGGGATGGGATGGGATGGGATGGGATGGGACGGGACGGGACGGGATGGGAAGGAACGGGACGGGACGGGACGGGCCGGGACGGGATGGGGCTGAAGACAGACACAGCTTAGCCCCTTCTCCCTGCATTTAGGGTGACATGGAGGGCTCAGGGCTGTCATTCACCCCTGGACCACCTGGGCCTGAAGGACCACAGGTAGGGCCGGTCCTGCCCTTTCCCTCCTCTCCATCCTGGGCTCCCTGGGGAATTCCTGGCCATCATGTCCCCTGCCATCACCCAGTGCTCATGGTCCCCTTGTTGCTTGCAGGGCGTGCCAGGACTGCCGGGGCTGAAGGTGAGGAACCCTTACAACATGCTCCTGGCTCCATCCACGTGGGGTCCCTGCAGGCAGCCTGCAGGGATGCCTCTGACACCTCTTTCCTTGCAGGGAGAGGTCGGCAGCCCCGGACAGCCTGGCTTGCCAGGACCAAAGGTAGGAGCACTGGGAGATTGGGATGGCTTTGTGCCAGCACCCGGGTGTGCAGGGCAGCAGGCAGGACCCCTGTGCTCTGTGAGCTGGGGCTGCATCCTGCCCTTTCCTGCTGCCATTGCAGGGAGATGCTGGCATGCCTGGCTTGGATGGCCGCCCTGGCCTGGAGGGCTTCCCTGGACCACAGGTAGGAGCTTCAGCCCCCCAGCTCCAGGAGATCCCCTCCACTCCAGGCAGGGCACCTTTGATGGCAGCTGCTCCATCCCCAGCAGCCCAAATTCCCCCTCCCTGCTGTGGGACCTGGCACACCGCATGTCAGGGGTGCCCACACCCCCTAGGATCCTGTCCCCCCCACCTTGTCACCACACTGGCCACCACCTCCACCCAAAATCATTGCATCTTGGCCCATTGCCTGGAGCTGGAGGCAGAGGTGAGGCTGCCTGAAGGATTTTTTGAGCCAGAGGTGGAAGGGGGTCTGCACTGGTGAGGCAGAGTCCCTCTCCATTTGGCGCTCACTCCCTCCTGCTCCTCTTTGCAGGGACCCAAAGGTGACAAAGGCAGTACCGGTGAGAAGGTAGGTGCCACCAGGCTGGGGACGGGGACCAGCCACAGGTGTCCCGGGGCTGATGGCTTGTGTTTTCCAGGGAGAGCGAGGCCAAGATGGAGTGGGGCTGCCTGGCCCCCCTGGCCCACCTGGTCCCCCCGGACAGGTCATTGGTGTCTCCGGTGAAGATGTAAGTGGTGGCACCTGGCTTCAGCACAGGGCAGGGGAAGGGGTATTCCAGCAGCCATCGTGAGGGAGACCTTGCTAGCAGCTCTGACCCTCAGAGCCAAGATCGGGGGGAAAAAACCTCATTTTGTCTCTTTTTGCAGAAGTCCTTGGTGGCTTTTCCTGGTCCAGAGGTAGGTGCCCTCCTGCCACCTGTGCCCACCCCTCAGCAGTGCCAGGAGGGCAGCCTGTTTTTGGAAAGATGGGGTTTGCTCTTAGGAGCATCTCTGCTTCTCTCTGCAGGGCAGACCAGGCCGCGCTGGCTTCCCGGTGAGTTGGTGACACATCTGGGGACCACGGGGTGGCCCTGGTGGCAGCTGTGGTCGCCAGTCCTGCTGTGCTTTGCTGCAGAGTGGTGGTGATGGAGGGGGAGTTTGGAACCTGCCTTTGTTGAGCTGGGAATGACATGGACTCTGTGTCCTTTCTGCAGGGCCCGGTGGGACCGAAAGGAGACCAGGGGTCACCTGGTCCCCAGGGTGCCCCAGGGCTGAAGGTAATTGCTCCAGGCCACCTGCACCCCATTGAGTGGTCACATTCCTGGTCCCCCATCCTACCTGGCCATCAGGTGACATCAGCTCTGTCATGGGAGGAAGCCTGGTCCCTGCGTGTCCCCTCCCACCTCCTCTTCTCTTGCAGGGGGAGAAGGGGGAGCCCGGCGTCATCATCAGCCCTGACGGGACCGTGGTCACTGCCAAGGTGAAAGGAGAAAAGGTGGGTTCCTGGCAGGAATGGGGGGCACATCCCCCTGGGACAGTGCCAGCTGGTCCCAGTGGTGATGCCCTGTCCCTCTCCATTATTTCCAGGGGGAGCCAGGGCTGCAGGGCCCAATGGGACCATTGGTAAGTCACCCTCACCATCCCCCTCCTTGTGTCCCACGGGGAGGGATGGAGATGATCCTACGCAGAGGGGATGCCTCCATACTGAGCATCCCTCACCCTCATCTTCTTTCCCTTCCAGGGTCCCCCAGGACGAGCAGGGACCAAGGGAGAGATTGGCTTTCCGGGCAGACCCGTAAGACCTGCTCCCGGTTTGTTTGTGTCCATCGTGTCCCCCTCTGCGTCTGCATGCACTGACCCCCTCTGCGTCTGCATGCACTGAGCCCCGCGGCCCGCTGTGTCCCTGAGGGATGGGGCGGTGCTGGGGGGGTGGAGGTGACTCTGGAGCCCCAGATGTGACACCAGGGGCTGGCAGGGGAGCGGGGACAAGGCTCATTGCGCTGCTCATCCACAGGGACGTCCTGGCATGAACGGGCTGAAGGGCGAGAAGGGTGACCCCGCAGACGTGCGGGGCTTGCGGGTGAGCACTGCTGTGAGCCCCCAGCTGCTGGCCCTGCAGGCCGGGGCACACACCCCGAGGGTCTCCCCAGGGACCCCAATCCCTCAGGCAAAGGGCATGTCTCCTTTTCTCAGGGGCTGCTTGTCCCCCTCCATGGTGGGGACTGTCCGCTTTGCAGGACTTTGACAAATCTTCTCGACCCCCACAGGGTCCCCCAGGCCCCCCAGGACCCCCTGGGCCCCCTGGCCCACCTGGCAGCATAGTCTACAACAATGGCAATGTGAGTATCACCACGGTCACCGTGATGGACATGCTGGTGACTGGGCCCCCAGTGTCCCCTGCCTGCCTGGAGGAAACTATGAATGCTCTGGTGACATCCTGGCTGGAGGTGGCATGTGGGACTGTCACCAGCATTAGGGGGGGTCCCCAAGGATGCTGCTGTCTCTGCAGCCACTTCCTTTGCATCTCCACAGACTTTCAGTGACTCCACCCACCCGGCATTCCCTGGTAAGTGGGTGTCCCTCTCCCCACCCTCTCTGGGCATTTTGGGGAACCTTGGCAAAGCAGGGCTGGGGAGGAACCCCCTCCCATCCCTTATAGCTGCAACTCTGAGATGGCATCTCTGCTGCTCCCCACAGGTTTCCACCAGTTCTCAGGACAAAAGGGAGAGAAAGGTGACACTGGACCCCCAGGACCGCCAGGTAGGTAACTGGTCCCTGCTGGCAGAGGCAGGCAGTGGGGGGCTCATGCCCATCCTGGCTCCTCTCCCCTCCTCTCCCTCTCTCCACAGGCCAATTCCCCTATGACATGAGTCACTTTGGTACCAGCCTGCGGGTAAGCCCTTTGCACACTGGCAGCTGGAACCCAGCATCACTTGGGGTGCCTGGCGCATCCCAGCTGCTCACCCTAAGACTGTGCCATCCCACAGGGTGACAAGGGGGATGCAGGTCCCAAGGGTGAGAAGGGCGAGCCAGGCAGCACCCCACTCTACAGTCCTGGAGTCTCTGGACTTCCAGGGCCTCCAGGGCCCCAGGGATACCCTGGGCTGCCAGTGAGTACCTCATAGGGTGGAGAGTGAAGGGGGGCACAGTGGGAGGTGGCATCCCTGGGGGCTTTGCTTCAACAGATTCTCTCTCACACTGCCTAGGGTCCCAAGGGGGACAGTATTGTTGGGCCACCGGGGCCTCCAGGACCTCAGGGTCCCCCTGGTATCGGATACGAGGGGCGGCAGGGCCCCCCTGGCCCCCCTGGTCCACCCGGGCCACCCTCCTTCCCAGGTCCCCACAGACAAGGTGAGTACCTGCTCTGCTGCATTCCACCCTGCACCCCCACATCCCTCCCTGCCCCTCCAGCATTCCCAGTTGTATCCCATGCATCCCTCCTTGCAGCTCTGCATTCCTCCCCATGCTGCACCTCTCTCCATCTCACCCTCCTTCCCCCACAGCTGTCAGCATCCCTGGACCCCCGGGACCACCAGGACCCCCTGGACCACCAGGCACTAGCGGGATATCCCTGGGGGTGAGTCAGGGCTCTAGGCAGGGGCTGCCCATGGTGCAGGCAGCCGGTCCCTGAGCCCTGCCCCGGGCTGTGCCCACAGCTCCAGGCCATGCCCACGTACCAGGCAATGCTGAGTGCCGCGCACGAGCTGCCCGAGGGCGGCCTCATCTTCCTGACGGACCGGCAGGAGCTCTACGTGCGCCTCCGCGGGGGCTTCCGCAGGGTGCTGGTGAGTGGGGGGCAGAGGGCTGCACTGCCCGGCTGGAGGGGGGCACACCCAGCACCACCCCGGGGGCTCGGTGGGGACTCTTGGTGATGCTGGGGGCCCCCCACCCGTGCGCGAGGAAGAGGAGAGGGGGGCAGCTGGGATCTGATGTGCCATGCCCTTGCAGCTGGAGGAGCACAACCTGATCCCCAGTTCGGCTCTGGTGAGTCCTCTATTTCCCATGCACATCCTCATTCCTATCCTCCTTCCCAATCCCATCCCTATCCTCCATCCTCATCTATCCTCATCCCATCCACAACCAGCTCTATCCATCATCAATCAACTTCATCTCCTTCTCCACTCATCCCCAACCATATCAATCCCCATTCCCAACCATCTCCATTCCCAATGCCATATCCATCCAACCCCGACGATCTCCATGCCCATCTTCATCCAACCACAACCATCTCCATCCATCCCCAACATTCTCCATCTCCATCACCACCCCCACCTGGGGCACCACACCCCCTCCATACTGTGTCCCCCTCCCCAGGACAATGAGGTGTACGACAAGCCGCCCACCCTCCACTACGCCGGCCCCCAGCCCCGCGGGCCCCTGCACCCGCTCCGCAACCACGTCCCCTCAGCCACCGCCCGTCCCTGGCGTGGGGACGAGGTGGTGGCCAACCAGCACCGCCTGCCCGAGCAGCCCCTGCTCCACCACCAGCACGAGCTCATCAATGGGTACTACATCCACCGCCGGCCGGAGCCCGCCCCTGTGGCCGCCCATGTGCACCAGGACTTCCAGCCTGCCGTGAGTGCCACATGCCCGCTGAAGGGAGCTGATGCTGGTGGCCAAAGCTGTGTCCCTCAAGGGGTCAAGCCCTGTTGTCCCCTCTTGGCAGCTTCACCTGGTGGCCCTGAACACCCCGCTGAGTGGCGGCATGCGTGGCATCCGGGGCGCCGATTTCCAGTGCTTCCAGCAAGCCCGACAGGTTGGGCTGGCTGGCACCTTCCGCGCCTTCCTGTCCTCACGCCTGCAGGATCTCTACAGCATCGTGCGCAGGGCCGACCGCGCCGCCGTCCCCATTGTCAACCTCCGGGTATGCGTGTCCCATCCCCTTCTCAACACTCTCTGAGCTCTCATCGGATCACAGAATAGGATCACAGAGTCATTATGGTTGGGAAAGATCTCTTTAAGATCAGCAAGTCCAGCTATTAACCCAGCACCACCAAGGTCTGGGATGCAGAGCATAGCAAAGCTGCCATCCATTATGAAGCACCTCCTTCCCAGAGACTGCTGGGGCTTGGAGCTTCTGGGCTGCTCCTGGGGTGCAGGCAGTGCTAAACCCCTTCCTCCTCCATTTTCCTACCCTTCCCACCAGGATGAAGTGCTCTTCAATAACTGGGAAGCCCTTTTCACGGGCAGCAGGGCCCCACTGAGAACCGGCGCCCGCATCCTCTCCTTTGATGGCCGAGATGTCCTGCAGGATGCGGGATGGTGAGTGCAGGACTGAGTGATGGGGAATTGGGGTTTGGAGCACAGCAAGGCAGCAGCAGCCCCCCACCTTTCACCCTTCCAGGCCGCAGAAGAGTGTCTGGCACGGCTCAGATGCCAAGGGTCGGCGCCTGCCCGAGAGCTACTGCGAGACATGGCGGACAGAGGAGCGAGCAGTCACAGGCCAGGCTTCCTCCTTGGCCTCTGGAAAACTGCTGGAGCAGACGGCCAGCAGCTGCCAGCAAGCCTTCATTGTCCTCTGCATCGAAAACAGCTTCATGACCGCCACCAAAAAGTGATACCCGCCCTGGCACCCCCGAGTACCCCCATGTCCCTGGGGAGGATTGGGCAAGCCTGCACCCCAGCACCCCTGGGCCCCTCAGCCCCCTCCCCGCGCCCACTCTTGCCCCGCAGGGTTTCATTCTCCTGCAGACCTGAAGCCAAAGAGTATTGCCATGGCCCCTGCCCTGGGTTGGCAGGGGCTCAGGTCCCACCTGGGGCAGGGCAGCCATGGGCTGGTGGCCTTCCTCCTCCTCCTCCTCTTCTAACTCCTAATATTTAACCACTTCAGCTTGTTCCCCTCCCTGCTCGGTTGCTGTTTCTGGGATGGCTGGGTGGGAGGATGCTCGGCAGGGAGATTTCAATGCTGCCATGTGGGCTGTTCCCCGCAAAAGCCTGTAGGGCCTCTCTCACCCCAGCCCCCAGCCCCGCACTGTCCTCACCAGGAGCTTGGGGTTGGAACCAAATCCCTGCTGCTGAGGCCATAGGGTCTTCTCCAGCCAAGACACCAGCATCCCACCCAAGGGATTGTCCTGTGGTGATGCTGGGGCTCTCCCAGATGGTCTCATCCTCCCCAGGTAAGGACCATCCCATCATCATTCTCACCTCCACCTCCCAGCCAGCAGAGCTCTGGTGGGGGTCTGGTCTCCCCCATCCCATCCATGCACCCTGGGGAACCCAGGCTGTGCCCCCACAGCCCAGGTACAGCCCCAGCCAGCCCAGGTACTGGGGTGACAGGGTGTCCCCAAGGTGTGGCCAGCTGTGCCCCTGGCACGTGTTTCTCTGTGTGTGCGTGTTGAGCACGTGTGCTACCAAGGGCAGGCACTGCCAATTCCCCCTCCCCGTGCAACCTTTGCTGGGCTCAAATGGCAAAGGCGCAGCAAAGCTGGTTGGAATTGGTGGGGGCAAATTCGAGGTGCTAAAAAAAAAACCAAAAAAAAAAAGAAAAGAAAAAAGAGAAATTTGTAACTAGCTTTTTTGTTATTCTATGGAAATTATTACCATAAAAGTTGCGCGATTCACACAGTTTCTATTTCTTACAGTCTACTGTATTTTGTGTAATTAATGCAATTAGAAGTGTGTGGATCTTTATATTTTTTTTTTGTCATCAGTTGTGTCCTATAAACCATTTTCTAAAGGCACTGAATAAAGAAACATTCTCTTGTAGCCTGGCTCCGTGCCATGATGGGGATGCAGCGGGATGGGGGCCCCATCCACACCCCATTTGTGACACATGGCGGTGGCACCATGGGAATCTTGCCCCCACTCTGTGTGTGGGGACAGGGAAGGGGCACAGCCCTGTCCTCACAGAGCAGAAAACACGTCCCAGCCATTACATCCTTGACAGAACAGCAGCCAGGACCAGCAGGGGGACAGGACGCCGAGCACACGGTGGCGATGACAATGCTCACGTGGGGAGCCAAGAGATGGCCACAGTGTCGTGGCACCAGCGCTCAGGCTTGTATGGTGCCCGCCTCCGGGCTTTTCTCCTGTGCTGGAATTTCCACTGGGAGCTGGCACGGCTCCTTGGCCAGGGCCAGCTCCACTGGCTGCCTGCGGTGGCTGTGCTGGACACCCACTCTGATGGCCGCCAGCAGGTAGACCACGGCCAGCAGGGTGAAGTAGCCAAAATACACATAAAACTGCAAAAGAGGAGAGAGGGGAGAAGAGCACTTGGAGCCCTCCCTTCATCCCGCACCATTCAGGGACCACCTCCATCCTAGGTGCGACCCCACCCCTACCTGGGGATGCACGGATAAGCCCAAGCCCCTCTTGTCAGCCACGATGATGGTGATGATGGTCTTCAGCACTGTGGCAAAGAAGGTGTTGACCCCGAAGACCAGAGCACAGAGCTCTTTGGAGAGGGAGGTAGCAATCTGGAAACTGGGAAAAATGGGAGCACTGGTGAACCCCTGGCATCAACCCGGCTGCCAGGGTGGGAGTGGGTCCCCAGGAGCACCACGCACATGGCAATGGGCACCAGGAACTGGTGGGAGCCACGGAAGAGGACGTAGGCAGCATAGCACAGCCAGATGTTGGTGGTGGAGTTCATAAGCAGGAGCAATCCCGCCTGGAATGCCGTAACCACTCCAATTACCAGCTCTGACCACAGCTTCCAGCGGATCTTCACGTAGCCAGCAGCGAAGGAGGCGACAGCTCCTGAGGAGGGATGAAGGATGCTGTGAACAGCTCAAGGATCCCCCGCCCTACCTAGGCTGGGACCCAGCCCAGTAACCATAATGTCATCCCCAATGCCACCAAAAACCAAAAAACCACCAAAAATACCGTAAGGACCACCATTTCCAAGGGGTGTGCAGCAGGACAGCAGTGACGCCCTGCCTCTCTGGTGTCCCCAGCCATTCCCACAGGAGGCAGCAGGATGTCTGTGTCCACCCACACCCTCAGTGTCCCAATCCCAGGCGAGTTACCCAGCAGAGTGGAGGCAGCATCCACGCCTCCATTGTACACCTGGCGGTTGTCCGTGGGGGGAGAGATCTCGTTCCAGAGGATGTGAGCATAGTACAGCATCAGGTAGTACCCAGCCGAGTTGAAGACCCACCACAGGGACCAGAGGCGGAGCTGGGGCTGCCTGGCCAGCGCTCCCAACTCCTGCAGCATCCGGCAGAGCACCATGTCCCGCCAGCCCCGTGTCCCCCTCCCGCTGTCCCCCCCGGCCATCCTGTCCAACTCGGTGGGCACAGCGGCGTCACCAGCCCCCCCGGGACGATTGAAGAAGAGGCTGCGCCGGGGCCGCTCGAGGAAGAGGGTGAGGATGAGGCCGAAGCTGACGAAGCCCAAGGAGACGTAGTTAAGGGTGAGGAAGGGGACACCACCCAAGGTGACGCAGAGCTGGCCCAACACGGAGCTGGTGAAAACCCCCAGGAGCACAGCGGAGCGGGAATAACTGGCCATCCGCTGGTAGCGGGACGGGGCGACCAGGGAGAAGATGTAGGAAGAGTAGGCAATGCGGGCAGCCATGGTGATGCCGTAGAAGAACTCCATCAGCTGCATGGCCAGGACAGAAGTGCCCCGCACCACCAGCAGCAGCCAGATGGAGATGTGGCTCAGGCTCTGCAGCACCAGCACGGGCTTGTAGCGCAGGTAGTCTGTCAGCAGGAAGATGGGCACCAGCACAGCCATGTAGGAGTAGGACAGCACCGGTGTGATCGCATTGGTCACCTGCCATGAGGGCAAGGAGGGGCTGAGTGCTGGGCACATCCCTGGCAATGCCCCCCAACCTGCAGGTGGTATGGGCACTGGCTGCTGACCCCCATGGCAGCGCCTCCTCGGGGAGGACTGTGACCAGCAGCATGCTCAGCTGGGGATCTGGCTGAGCCTTGGCCCCTTCCTGTGCCGGGAATGCAGCGTTCCCACAGCGCAGCAGCCAGGTGGGATTGAGGCCAGCATCCCTTGGTTGGGAGATGAAGACATTGTGGCCCCTCCTTGTCTAACCCCATCGTTGCCAGTGGCCTAGCAGTGCACTATGCCATCATGGAAAAGTCTCCCCAGTGGGATGGGGCATGACTTCTCCCAGCCCAGCACCCTCCAACAGGCTGCTACGGTGGGCAGCGGTCACACACTGCCCCCAAAATCAGTTGCCAGCCTGGGCACGAAGTTTTATGCCAGGGCAAGTTGAGCCTAGGACTCAGGGGATAGGGTGACCTCACAGCCAAATGAGACAAGGCCCCACAACACCCCACCTTCCCTGCCCAGAAAGCACCACTGTGAGTCACCACATGCTGCCATGCCCAGGACACGACACCCCTGTGCACCCCAGAAGCACCGAGGGATGCTCTGTACAGCCCCAGGCTGGTGACCATGGCCATAAAGGGGGACACTAGGGTGGGGGACCAGATGCCCACAGCTCACCTCTGCCTTTGTGAAGTTCTGGTCGGGCCCCAGCAGATAGGGGGTGATGAAGCTCTCCCCGGGCCGGATCTGTGTCATGAAGCCATAGAAGCAGAGGTAGCAGACTTGTAGCTTCCAGTGCCGGTCCAGCACCTTCTCCGGCGCCGGCTTTTTGGCGCCATCATTCTTGGGCATGGCTCTGCAGCAGGACAGCAGCATTATCCTGGGAGCCATCAGCTACACAGGCTCTGCTGGACCACGCAGCCCCTCTCTGTCCGCAGGCGCTCTCGGACACATGGAAAACCAGGGCGCTGCAGTTTCTGTGGAAAAAGCAGCATTTGGCACAGGTTCAAAATTCCTCAAGAATCGCAAGGCAAATAAATACCACTACCTTCTCCCCAGGAGATGTTCTGGGAAGAAGAAAAGCAGCCGTGCATCTTGCTGTGCAGAAGCGGGGGGGGGGGTCATTTCGGGCGGCATTCATACATCACGTGCATCCGGAGCCTGGATGCACGGAGCATCTGGATCCACAGTGGGGCATTCTCAGCTCCCATCACCTCCTTTTCTTCCCCTTTAAGACTTAGTGGGGTTTTGCTGCTTCTTGGAGCAACACTTCCTCTGAGCTGCAGAGGCAGAGGGATGCAGACGCCCTGCACTGGGAATGCTCTGGAGGGGATGGCACAAGAATGTGCTGGCTGTGGAAATGAGTTAATGTGCACACCGGGCATGGGGCCACCCGTGTTACTCAGTAGCGGGATGGCCGGCAGGACTTCAGCTGAGCCGCAGGCAAGCGGCTGCCCCTTGGCTCTTGCCAGGGGGACACAGTGCCCAGCCTGGGGAAATGCAAAATGCCATGAGATTCATGGTCCAGAGAGGGATTAAAAGCTCAGATCCTGAGGTCTGGCTGCAGGAAAGCTGGCAGTGCCAGGAGACCCGATTAGCAGTCATGGGATGAGGGCAGGGACAGGAGAAGTCCTGGACTGATGTCCTCCCAGCACTCCCCACTCCCACAAGAAGTCACCTAGGTGACTTATCATGCCACATGATTCCTCCTATTCCAACACACGCCACAGGAGCAAGGTTTAGAAACCTGATTACCCAGATAACCACAGAACAACTAATCACAGTCATTAAAAAGTAAGTTCATGGTCCTAGTCTGTGTCCCACTGCATCCTGCATGGTGAAACTGGGGGATAATACCCCCCCTGCTGCCAGATAACACAGGATAAACAGGGACATAAGCCAGCACTGGTAGTGGCAGAGGAAGCTGGTGGTGACCTAAACCTACAGGACGCCAAGTGTCCATCTGCCCCAGTGAGGACACACCACTCCAGCAGCATTCCCATGGGATTTCAGCACTGGTGCCTGAGTATCACCAAAACACGTGTGTGCCAGAGCTCACGGCTGGGGCAGCCCCTAAACAATCCCTGGGGATCAAAGAGACGCTCACTTGCTCCCTCGCTGCCTGTCCGGCACCGGCTGGAGCACCGGCCCCTGCGGTGGCAGGAAGGGCAAGGAGCAAGGAGCAAGGGCTAACCCCCGGCAAACACCCAGCCCAGCACCGTGCCGAGGCCACTGCCAGCTGTGAGTGCCTGGACTCTGCTCCATCACTTTCTTGTCCCCAGGCTGGGCTGTAGATGTCACCTGCAGCAGCTGCTTGCCACCACGTGCACCACAACCCCTGCGGGATGTTTGCCACCCTCCGCTCCCCATTTCTGCCCTGTCCATCCAGGAGGGATATATACATGGATCCCTGGCCCACAGAACACCATCCACACTAAATCCAGGACGAAGCTGCTCCATTCCCAGGAGCACTGGCTCCTAACTTCCAGCATGTGGGTCCCCACACACTAAGGGACTCCAGACCAGAACCCACCTAGCTGCACCCAATCCCCCTTGTCCAGAACATCCATGGAGCTACTTAGCTCGAAGTGAGCGGGCATGAGTACCTGGCGCAAGCCAGGGAGTGGAGGGAAGAGGAAAAAGGAGAAGAGGTAGCAGAGCCGGTCCGTTATCACCGTGTGAACCTGTTTATCACCGAGTTACCTGGGTGTGACCTTGACATGGATCACTGTCACGTCACACACCGCTGCCATCCCGGGGTCAGAGGCGACACGGGTGGCAGAGCCACCGCGGTCCGGAGGGGACAGCCCTGGGGCACACAAGGGACACTGCCAAGGCGCCACGTGCTGTGCGCGGAGCTGCCGCGCCGAATGGGGCGCGCCAATCCCTGGGGTACCCTCCCTAAAACAAGGGCTGGGAAGCTCCTGAGAATGCATCCTCGCCCACCGTACGAGCACCTCTCTGCCTCCCACCGCCCAGCACCAAGGGATGGGCGCTGCGGGGTGCGCTTGGCAGGGGAGGGTGTTGGGGGTACGCGGCACCTGCTCACCCCGAAACAACGGCGGGGGAACCAACAGAGCGGGGGGAAACAACACAGCACCCGGCACACATGCCCAGCACCCGGGGGAAACAACACTGCCGGCATCCCAGGGACCGCCCCGGGCACGGCACCCGCACCCCGCAGCCCGCACCCCGTACCTGCGGGCATGAGCACTGCGGGCCGCGGCCAGGCGGATCCGCGGCTCCCCGCTGCCACCCGAGCCCGGCCGGCGGCGAGCTCGGGACAGCGACAGCAGCAGCAGGAGGAGGAGGAGGAAGAGGAGGAGGAGGAGAATGTAGGAGTACCTCGGGAAATGTAGTCTCTATCCACGTGCGGGGCGGCGTGGGGACTCCAAAACCCACAGTGCAGCGGGTCGGGAGGAAGGGGAGGAGGAGGAACAGGAAAAGCCCGGCCACGCCGGAACAGAGCTGTGCCGGCCCCTGAGTCCCGTACAGGGACAAATCCCCCTCCGAAAGCGTCGGCAGGGCGTGAAGGAGCCCCTTTTCCACTGCCCTCAGCCAGGCTCCGCTCCTTGCCCATCTGCCGTGGCCGCTGGGCTGCGGGCCGTGGGGGACGCTGCCCCCGCCTTGGCTGCCTCCGCTGATTTATGATACCCATGGCTACTTGGATTTATTTCTGCACCCCGTTTGTTTCCTGGGGGTGGATTTGTTCCAGTCTACGCAGTTGTGCCGTATCCCAGAGGGTCCCGAACAGTTCCCCGCTGTGCTCCAAGCAGAGCTTCCGAAACTTCACATCCCCTCACCCAGCCTGGCAGCGACCCCCGAGAGTTGCTTATGGGGTGAGTCCGACCTTCAGGACTTGGAGAGGCTGAAGCATGGCCGTGCACTTCTTCCGGAGGGAAGAGCATCCCGAGAGGAGGTGGAGCCCCCCGAGAATCGGCCCTCGGAGCTAGTGCCCCATCTCACGGGAGATGATGCATCTTCAGAGTGCATCTTCCGAGGGCATCTTCTCTCCCCGCCTTTCCTCCCCCTTTCCCAGCGCTCACCCTGCCAGAAGCAAATGCAAACTGACAGGGCTCGGCTATTCCGCTGAAATATTTATGTCTTCCCGCCTGGAAGTGCGGCAGCAGGATCCCAGACGTCCGGGGACTGTCTCTTTCTCACACACACACACACATACACACACACACTCAAGCCAGCCTGTAAGGTCCAGGCAGCCCTGGATATTCCAACCCAGAGGCTTCCAGGCCAACTGAGCCCCCCAGGTGGTCCTGGGGAGGGTGGCCAGACCACAGCAGACGTGTCCGTCAGCTCCCTGTGTGCACGCTGTCCCTCCCGTGGGCAGGTGGGACCTGTCCGTCCCTC